TCTTTCAAAAATTTGACAGATATCAAATAAATTAACAATATTTTGAAATTTATATTTTATACATTTGATAATTTAAATATATATATATATATTTATTTATTTATTTTATTAAAATTAGAATATAACTTTTTATTTTTAAAATACATATTTTATAAATAAAAAATATATGTATGTAAAATGGTAGTGGGGGCAAGTGCTCCTACTCTTGTCTAAGTAGATTCGTCCCTGACTGTTGAGATGTAACATAATTCAAATAAGATGACAAACATATATTTATATATAATAACTTGCTTTTATTGATAAGAGACTTTTTAATGATGTTCAAAAGTAAAATTATGGGAACTTAAATTCAAAATTGACAATATCTTTTGTAAAAATTTGTGTGTGAAACTTCCAATGTACAATAAATAGTATCAGAGCTGTTAGTTAGAACAAATATATGGCTCAATAAGTATAATGGAGTTAACATATGAATTTGGTTATAGGAGGTCTGAGAGAGTCTTTTCGATAACATGAGGGTTAGGAGGTGTGTCTCACATCGCTATCATGGTTGAACTCTATGAATCATTATCAGATATACTCGTCGACTAATAGCTTCTTCAATAAGGAGAATAAATCATGGTCCTTTATTTGAGGAATGAAATATTAATTCCAAAGTGCGGACACACCCCTATCATAATTAAGCTTTATGAGCCACCATCGAATACCATAGTTTTTTGTTTGAGGAGAGGATTGATAGACTCAAAGTAGAGACACGCTGCTATTGTAACTGAGCTCTACGAGTCACTATCGAATATACTCATAGACAACTTTTGTTGTAAAAAGCGTAAATCAATGTCCTTTATTTAAGGGGATGATTATTAAGCGCAAAATGGATAATATCTTATTATTGTAGAGATGTGTGTGTAAAACCTCAGCTACGCACAACAGTTGCAAATAATTATATTTAAATGGAAACGCAGAGATGCTATATATTTAGGTTATGTTTGGTTCCACATTAAAAATATCTAAAATCAACTTTATTACATCTAAAATTAGTAGAATCACTTTTGAAATATATTTGACTATTAGAAAAATTGATTTTAAGATATAAAAACTCACATTCACTTAGAAACAACTATCAGTAACTTCTCTATTAAACAAAATCAATTTTGGGATTTTATCAATGAGATGTATAATTATACATTCAAAATCAATTTTAATAACAAGTTTTCAAACAACATTCAATATGAAAATTAAGTTCATATCTCTTGTCGTTCAAACGAAAATCACATTATTTTTTACTCACATTTACTCAAAATAAATTATACAAACCCACGTTGATTTAAAGTTTAGGATTTCTATTAACACATATCCAAATATACATTCAGTGAATATGGACAGAACAACTATATTGTAAGGAATACATCTCTTCCCGTAGTTAATGTACGCCATGCCATGCAACCCATATTGTAGTTGTAGGCATGGCATGGGCTTCAATCCCTTTGACTTGCAAGGCCCAAATTTGTGTCCAACCAGTGTGGAGGAGACCAAGCATTTACATTTAGTGACGACTAATGGACAAAATTGACCTCATGGTATATACACCTTTTTTCTTTTTCTTTTTTTATAAGCACATCTTATTTTTTTTTAAAATTTCTTAAAATATTTTTAATATTTTTTTATTCTTTAATTTTTTTATTTTACACTTCCAATTTTCAATTTACTATTTCCTTTTTTTCTTTTCTTTTCTTTTCTTTCTATACACTTCATTTCTCACATGCATTCCTTATCTTCTTTACATTCTCCATTTATTTCCGTAAGTAGTTTTAGTTCTCTTAGTTTTCACATCATTCTCTTCTCTCCCGCTGCTTTCACTTTACACATGCACTCAAACCGTAGAATTGGTATGCGACGACATTATAAGCATGTGCAACTTCCTCGATAGTTTTTGTTGAGTTAGATGCACATTTTTTCTTCCAACACTTTCTCTCCTTTCACATATTCAAAACCCTTAACATTAAATTGAATGTTATGGAAAAGACATTCCAAAACACTAATTTTACTATTTCAAAATAGAGAAATTAGTGTTTCGGAAAGTATTTTTCGAGATTGTATTTTTTTTCATACTTTTGGAAAGTACTTTTCATAACAGTAAATTTAATGTTCAAGAAAGTAATTTTTGTATGTAAAATAATACTATCAAAAAAATATTTCCTGTAATAGTAAATTTAGTATTTTAGAAAATACTTTTCGAAAGTATGTTAAAAACACAATTTCGAAAAATACTTTTGGAAACACTAATTTTACTATTCTATAAAGTATTTTCTAGAGTACTAAAATTATTTGATATTTTCTGTGTAAATCAGGGAAAGTGCTCGAAGAAAAAATGCATATTTAATTCAATACCTTTAATGTTGTCGAAAAAATCACATGCCTCTATAATATTGTTGAAAACTAGTTCTACATCTTATACACATGTCAAAATTGAAAGAGGAAGGAAATATAATAATATAAAATTGAAAGAATTAAAATTACTTATTAAAATAGATGATGAGTAGAGAAAATGTAAGGGAATGCATGCAAAACCTATAAAGAAGGGGAAAGGGAGTATGTAAAAAAAGAAAAAAAAAATGTTAAATTGAATGTTAAGGGTATAAAAATAAAAATAAAAATAAAAATTAAAAAAATAAGAATATTTTAAAATTTTAATTATTTTTTAATAAAAGTTGTACTTATAAAATAAAAATAAATAAATAAATAAGAGGTGTATATATCATGGACCCTAAGATAATAATCTTTTATCCTATAAGAGAATTAAATTGTTTCAATAATCAATTATTATAATTGCTCATAATTGAAATAAAATTTTTAAATTAATTTGCTAAAAAATAATTTTGAAATATTGAATTTCATTTGGATAAAAAAATTCCATTTTTATATAATAAATCAGTTGGGGAAAAAAATTGAAAATAATTATAAGTTTCAAAATTTCAAATTAAAGAAAACAACTTATTTTTCAAAAAAAAGAAATCCAAATTTAAACATCTAATTTTCCTTTTCCGTAAACAGCTTTTTGGTATAAAACAGCTGATATTATATTTCCCAAACATGCTCTAAATGTTTTTTTCTACCGTCAACAAAAGTGCGTGAGAGATGCTATTAATGATTCCCACTGAATGATATAAGGGTGAATCAAGACTAGAAAGAAAAATTTGCAGTAAAAAATTTAACGATTTCCTCCAGAGTAGGTATATTGCAAAAGCCGAAGACATGAAACAAAAACAACCGGAAAGGTCACGAACCAATCACAATTTAATTCACAACAAAGGTGATCTACAAATTCGCGACAAAGAAAGAAAAAATCGTCTACAAACAGGTACACAGCAAAAGAATCCACGTTGGCTAAATACACAAACAACAATATACACAATAGATAAAAGAGAGGGGATAAGGGGAATTCTGAAACTAGTTTGACTAAATAGAAAAGCAGAAACTCTATAGCCGGTATTTACTATTTGACCCGCTGTAATGTTTGTGCAATTCCAACCTGCAAGTAATACAACAAATTCGTGAGCCCTTTACATTACACACAAGCCTAATATTAATCTGTAAATTGTAAGTCAGAAATAACCTCAGGCTTTTCTTTTTACAATAAGGTGACTCCAATAACAACATTATTACAAGCCACTCAGAATTCCAAACTTACATATTGACATTTTATTCACAAACGACTACAAAGCTCTCAGCATTAAACAAAGCTTCTGATTGACATTTGAACAAATTCACACACCAGCATACATAAATTGAACCAACCAAATCCAAGTTAAGAAAGTACAATATTGACTTTTATTAGAAATAATTTTTTTTTTGGTATTATTCTATTAGAATTGAGTATATGTCCCTGTCTATGCCGGCAATCATTCACAAGCAATCTTGGTGTCAAAGCAGCTAAGGCATATTGCAAAGGCTTCAAAGGCAGAGATTGGATAACGATAGTCCATGGTGAATACATCCTTTCCGACTTTTCCAAACTGTAGAATAACATTTTCCTGAGCCTGCTCAGAAACTCCATTTTCAGGAGAAGCAACCAGCTGGAAATTTTTAACTGAAGCAACTGTCACTCGCCCGTTGAAGTTCAGACACCAGCATTGAAGTTGTTCATGCCACCTTGGAGACTTGTTCCGTAATACCAGTGTCCCCTCATTTTGAGAGGCTAAAGGTACTGATGTGCGATTGTTGCGGGTTGGTTTTGATCTTTTGAAAGGGAAGGATGGAGAAGTACCAATTCTGCTATGTAGAAATTGAGTCTCTGTTGCGGCCGCACCTCCAGGTTCAACAACTGACACAGGGATGGCATCCATAACACATTGCATTATTCTAGGGCCCCTATTAACATTTTGACAACTAATCAATAGAGCCACCTCTTGGAAGGGAAAATGAAAAAATCAACATGGAAAAATTCACCAAAAATTTTCATTTACTGATTTCCTACCCAAATAATTATATTTACCCAAAAACAGACACTTTTGTATAAACAACACTAATACCTAGCGCCCATAACATTCATATCATATGAGACATGAGCAATGGGATAGTTGCCGGTAGGTCTTGGAGAAACTTGCTTGAGACTAATTAGTCTGGTGGAACGAGATTTTGTAAATTTGGCTCCATTAACTGGAAGATGAGCATCATACACGATGAATTTGGTGCCCAGAAAGTTTGATCTATCATAAATGAGAAAATGAAAGTCATTTTAGACCAACAGGATAGTGATTAACAAGTCATGTCACATATAGTTAAAATACCTCAATTTCCCAATATAGGTACCACTCCCTCTTGATACATCATTGCAGTTTAGAGAGATGTTAAAATCAGTATAAGTTGCACGTCGACACTTGCGTGCAGAAAGAAGGAACTTGCCATCGTCAGTTGAGGCTGCAAATTATAAAAATCAACATGACAAAAAAATCAAAGGATACAGAAGAAAGGAAAAGGGCAGCAATATATGCCATGATGTTTAGAAAGAATATATCACACATTAAATTTAAATGTCTGGTAGTGCTTACCTTCGTTTAAACCAAAAAACAGGTAATATGTTTGATTACTGCGATTTCGTTTAATATAGCACTGAAGAAGAGAGTCCCTTGGACCAGGCTGCACGATGACAATGAGAAACAGATTAAGGCTTGGCAATAACTAGAATACTAAATAATAATAATTCTTTCAGGTTACTAATATCACAGTATGAAACCAATCCATATAATGTTTCAATGAAGATCTAATTTTGCTTCCTTTGTGTAGTAAGGAAGAAACTAGAATTAAATTACTTGCAATCTTCAACTCAAATATCATATTGGAGTTCATTTTCCTACTTGAATAAAGGTTGAGGAAGATGTAATAGAAGTATATTCAACACTGTGAACATAAGATGAAACTTCTACATCTTAATAGAAAGGAAAAAGAAAATTATATCAAAAGTCAATACTTATTCCATACTATTTCCTGTTTGGCACTTGAGTATAAAATTAAGCAAAGAGAAAGCACTGCAAAAATCATAATGTCTTTGACATGCAACCAAATGGTCTTACATCCTCTTGACCTCATAGGGGGAAATGTAATGTTTATAGTTCTCAAAGCAGCTTACATATACAAAGATATAGAAAATAACACACAACGAAACAATGACACAGCTGGTACCGAGATTCAAAACAAAATAAGGTAATCACCATTAGTATACTAGATCATGTTTTCACTTAAGCATTGTTATTTGAACACACGACTTTTGCATGCCCCCTTATCAGCTATGATCTCTATTACATTCAATAGGTTGTTAGTAGATATCAGTTAAATGACAACATAAAAAATTGCAAAAGAGGCAGGCAATGCGGGGGTGTGCAAGTAATATTTTCACATGACACCAATGTCACAGATTACAGGGAAGCTAATTGAAAAGCAGACTTCCATATTTCATAAATTTTAACTTACTATTGAACAATTTCAATTACAGAACCATTCAATTAATCAAATTCCAACAGCCACGAACAAAACAAAACACAACAAACAAACCAAAAGTTACAAATTTCAAAGAGGCAAATAATATTTAAAAGGGTCAAATGAGATACAAAAATCATAAAGAGGTTATTTGGTGAAGAAAAATACTTTAAAAGTAAATCATTCAAAAAATGTATTTAATTTTAATATATTGTTAGTGTAAGTATTTCTTGTGTCAATTATGTAGAAATTATCCTTAGTATAATTTTTAAAACACTTTTTATAAAATATAATAGTTTATGATTGAATAACAATGTGAAAAACTTTTATACTATCAAAATAAATTCTTCAAAAGAATTAAAATGAACAAATAACACTATTATTATAACACTAATAGTGGTAATGATGTTCGAAGCATTGTTGGATTTTCCGTGTTTGCTTAAAACTTGACATAATCATAAAACAGTATCATTGGTCATAGATCTTTAGCTTCCAAAAAAATGCACGCATGCATTGTTTAATGATAGTGAGAGGCCCATAACTCGTGTGAAGTTTTAGTCCGTCCAAAGCACATAACAACACAAGTGACCATTGACCAATCAAAGGATATAGCACTCAAACAAATAATAAATAAATGCATTGGACTTAAATTATGCATCATCAGCTTATCATTCCAATCAACAATAGTCTTAGATCCCACATTCCGTGGTGGTGGTTAATACAACATATTTTGGCAGTTCTAATTGTTTTGACACTTTTGATGTGATTGAAATTGAATTGCATAGACACTTCCTCAATCTTCTTGTTTTCAATACTTGCACTCTTTTGCAAATCAAATCGTTGTTACAAGAAGAAACAAAAATCATTAGTTTATTCATACTTGATTTGGGTTTTAAAACTGAAAAGTAAGCAACATTTTCACCTTTAATCATTTCAATATCCTCTACATTTTTAATTTAATTCAAACCCTTTCAAATCATATTTTTTAAGTCAACAGTTTAATCAAATCATTAATCAGAAGATCCAAAATTTAAAAAATAACACAACTATTGTTTATTAAGATTGGATCATTATTTTTATCACATTTTTAAAATTGAACTGTATCATTACAATATTATATCATTATATGACAATTGAGACCTGCTTCAAGGAGATTGGGAATGTCAACTGGCCGGATACTTGAGGGGATTTGACAATATCCTTCATGATTTCTCTCCAACTGCGACAAACTCCGGCGCAGGCGACGACATGTCTCCGGCCAGGCCAGGAATCCTCAGAGGCCTCTATCCTCATGAGCACATCCCTCAAAAGCTCAGAGGGCATGCCAGCCCAACAACTTTGGTCATCAAGCATTACCAAACTATCCTGGGCAATAGCATCACTGTGTGACTGTGACCTGGATCTCAAATTATACCCACACTTCACCTCAATTCCCTTACTTTCCATGATTACATTCCTAAACGACATCTTCAACCCCTTTCTCAAAACCCCTTGCAGCCCAATCCCAATTCCCCCCAACTCCTCTAAACCCCTCACAAAATTAACAACAACAACACCCCAACAATGATAAAGGTGGGAATTTTTTTACGAAAAGAGCTTTCCTTTTGCTGAATAAACGAAGGATTAAGGGCACCCAGAGGGACATATACACATTTTAGCTTCAATTAAGCCGAATTTTGAAAAAATTGAAGGCAAACCAACATGAATAAATGAATAGTTGACAAGACAAACCCGGAATTTGGAGGAAAAGAACGTGAACCCCCTCCCATGGGAAGCATGTGAGGTGGAAGGGGAAGCCTTGCGGTGAAAATGTTGAAAGGGTTAGTGAGGAGTGTGGGTGTGTGTGAGGGTCCAGCACTGCTTCGGATCAAATCGTCTTATACTCTACTTGTATTGATTGGGTTTGGGGTCCACCTCCGACCCCATTTTCATTCTTCAGCTCACAATTTACGATAAAAATAAAGTTTTTAAGCAACAAATCAATTTAAATTTTAAGAAAATTAGATTGGGTTCAACTTCATTTAAAAAATGTTTTTAATTATTAATGATCTTTTTTAAAGAAAAATTGGAGTTTAATTTAAAACCAGAAATAAAAAGAATTGAAAGAAATGAAAGTGAGAGAAAAATAACTAATAACTAATTCAAAGTTTGATAAATTACACCTACATTTAAGAATAATATCTAATATGTTGATACTATTGGGATAAATATGAATGTGCAAGAGGTAATACATCATGTGTGCCACACATTATCCATAATGATTTTTCTTAATTGTTTACTTAAAATGTGAAAATTAAATTATAAAATTTGATAATAATTATAATAAATAAAAGGTTTATCACATTATATGTTTTAGAAATAAATAAATAAAATATAAAATAGGAACTCCAAAAACCTTTATAAAAATTATTTATAACCAAAAGAAAAATAAATAATTAAAATAAGTAATATTAAAATTTACACTAATTAAAAGTTGTAATTTATTTTAAAAATCTCGATGTCACAACTATCATGATATGATCCAAATTAAAAGAAAATAACACATAAATCTAAGTTTTGCCTTCAACATTATCATCATACACATTTATTTGAACCTTATTTGTAAATGGTGTTCAATCCAAAGAAAAGAAACACAACAATATACACATAGAGTAAGAATACGTCTCACAACATGTCTTTAATATAAAAATGAAAGGTAGATAACATCTAAAACAATATGATAACAAACGACACGTATACACAAGACTTAAATGTACTCATGACTATGCAACTCCTATATTATTTATGTTTGTGATGCCATTAACTCATTTTCTCAAACCAAATATATAGGTAGCTTAAGAGCACAAGTCAAACATGAATCATCCCACTATGGGTATCCGATAAGATACTCTCAACTACAACAAAGATTCACTAATAGCTCATCAAGGTTTCCTAGTTATGCTAGAGTACTCCTTTCTCAATGTGTTGATAAGGAGATCTCAAACTACTAAAATCCCTAAGGTCAAGATAAATAATCATATAGATCTTCTTAGTAAACTCACAAATATACTTCCAAAGAACACATAATGCATATGATGCATAAATATATAGAATTTCTCAAAATTATACCACATAACAAATGGCTAGCATTAAGCTTAGATTTAATGAATGACTAAGCATAGCTTATACTTTAAAAATTGGCTAGCATTCCACCTAGACTTAACGAATGACTAAACATCATGCTTAGGCTTTAAAAATTGACTAAGCTTCAAAACTTAGATCTATTAAACACAAATTTTCTTTCTCATATATTATGTTTAACACTCACTTAATCATCCTATGACTCTCTATTTTTTATTTCTTTTATTAATTAACCATCACAATGATTACTTAATCAAACTAATGCAATTAATAGCATACATGGACTTTAACATGATTGTGTTGCATATTAGCCCGACTATGTTAGGAAAGACAAGGGCAAGCATGGGGTATGTTGTCTCTCAAGCATGGTCTTGTTTGTAAATTCATTTCTTCACTCCACATTTAAACATGATCGTGTTATCTCAAACACATTAGTTTCCAGGTTCTCACCTTTTCTCTCTTTGAGAAAAGAGCATGGTCATGGCTATTACTAACACAATTATGGTTTAATCAACATGACTATGATTCACTCAACATGATTATGGTTCACTTCTTCTCTCCACTTTTAAACATGGTCATGCTATATCAAGCACATGAGTGTATAGGTTGTCACCTTTTTCGCTTTGAAAAAACGGCATTGTCATGGTTACTCTGTGGTCCCTCCAGCATGATTGTGCTTCCTTGAGTATGTTCATGCTCTCCAAAAGAAAATCTTCAAATGTATGAATTCAATTATGCGAGTCACTACTTTAATACCTCAAATCTTACTCATATAGTACAAATCAATACATTTTTACAACACATAAGGTATTTAATTGAATCAACACACATCACTCACTCCAATTCATGAAAAGTACCAAATCAAGAATTCTAATATATTAGCCCTAACATATTGAAAATAGGATAAGATATCAATCATATTATCTCAATTCAATTCAAGTAATTCATTCAAATAAGGAAAGTAAAATTGTAGTAATTTGATCAACAGGTTAATACAAAACATAAATTACACATATTTAAACATCACTATTTCGGGATGTTCAAAACTCTCAATTTAATGAATGACTAAGCATAGCTTATACTTTAAAAATTGGCTAGCATTCCACCTAGACTTAACGAATGACTAAACATCATGCTTAGGCTTTAAAAATTGACTAAGCTTCAAAACTTAGATCTATTAAACACAAATTTTCTTTCTCATATATTATGTTTAACACTCACTTAATCATCCTATGACTCTCTATTTTTTATTTCTTTTATTAATTAACCATCACAATGATTACTTAATCAAACTAATGCAATTAATAGCATACATGGACTTTAACATGATTGTGTTGCATATTAGCCCGACTATGTTAGGAAAGACAAGGGCAAGCATGGGGTATGTTGTCTCTCAAGCATGGTCTTGTTTGTAAATTCATTTCTTCACTCCACATTTAAACATGATCGTGTTATCTCAAACACATTAGTTTCCAGGTTCTCACCTTTTCTCTCTTTGAGAAAAGAGCATGGTCATGGCTATTACTAACACAATTATGGTTTAATCAACATGACTATGATTCACTCAACATGATTATGGTTCACTTCTTCTCTCCACTTTTAAACATGGTCATGCTATATCAAGCACATGAGTGTATAGGTTGTCACCTTTTTCGCTTTGAAAAAACGGCATTGTCATGGTTACTCTGTGGTCCCTCCAGCATGATTGTGCTTCCTTGAGTATGTTCATGCTCTCCAAAAGAAAATCTTCAAATGTATGAATTCAATTATGCGAGTCACTACTTTAATACCTCAAATCTTACTCATATAGTACAAATCAATACATTTTTACAACACATAAGGTATTTAATTGAATCAACACACATCACTCACTCCAATTCATGAAAAGTACCAAATCAAGAATTCTAATATATTAGCCCTAACATATTGAAAATAGGATAAGATATCAATCATATTATCTCAATTCAATTCAAGTAATTCATTCAAATAAGGAAAGTAAAATTGTAGTAATTTGATCAACAGGTTAATACAAAACATAAATTACACATATTTAAACATCACTATTTCGGGATGTTCAAAACTCTCAAAACTCAAGCAATTCAAAACCTAAAGGGATTTAGGGACAATCCCACCATCCACAATTTCTAATCATAATACATGACGAGATAAATCTCACTACCTCTTACCTTAATGATGCAATTTTCATTGTGAAGGTTGTGACTCGCTACTCCAAGGTTCACTCATCTAGTTTCTCCATAGAGTTTTTGTAACATGTTTATAGGAACCATAAAATAAAATAAAATAAAATAAACTAATGCTACTAACTTCTATAAATTTACCCCAAGACTCTTTTATAGCTAAAATGATGGGTTGGGCTTCTAAGGTCAAAACACATCCCATCTTAGCCCATTTATTTTATTTTATTTTTCTAATAAAAACCTCTTTAATTTATTTTAATAATTAATATAAACCTAGTAGCATAAATTAATTACTATCATATTAAAATTATTTTCAAAAAAAATGAGATGTTACACCATATTCTTAATTTAAGTCTTAATAAAGTATTATTCTTTTACTTATTAGTATATTTATTGTTTGACTAATAGTTAACTTGATATTGTCCTTGATTAAAAATGCGAGTCTTGTTATCACGATAAAGATTATTTTAACAAAAAACAAGTCTTTAATAATTTTCATTTAAATTGTTCTTGATCACATGATTAGTATAACAGGACATCAATAACACAGATAGATTAATATATATATATATATATATATATATATATATATAGAGAGAGAGAGAGAGAGAGAGAGATGATGCACATAAACATGTGATTATTGAATTGATTTGATTGAAAACTCCTAATTGTTAATATCTCTTTATATATAAAAATTAAAATAATTTTCTTAAATAGGAGTATTTTTTAGAGACCATTAACGAAAGTGCTTTTAATGAAAGTGTTTTAAGAATTTTTTCTTAGTCTCTTACATATTTTATTATATTATTCTTGTTATTTCTAAATTAAATTTCATTATTTTTTAAGAAATTTATCAATAGTTAAAAAACATTGTATTATTATATAAAATACTTGTCATATCTAGTGTTAAATAAAGTTAGAGATTATATAAAATAAAAATAAGTTATATCGGGTCACACTCCCAACAGTGCAGACAAGTCCAAGCACTGCCGGTACCACAGAAACCACGGTCACACCACTGAAGAGTGTCACACACTCCGAGACCGTATCGAGGAACTCATCCAGGCAGGTCACCTCGGCAATATGTCCAGCCACAGCAGGATCACAGAGGAGGCTACGGTGGACGAGGACGAGGCAGAGGTCGTGGTTCGGGAGCTCGCACGGACCAACCCTCTGGCTCTCAGCAAAATGCCGGTGGAGTAGTGCAAGCCTAGGTAAGCCAGGAAACAGGGTCAGCTCCCCTACGGGGAGTAATCAACACAATTGCAGGTGGCTTCGTAGGGGGAGGCTCTAGTAACTCGGCGCGGAAATGACATTTGCACAGCCTCAACAATGTCCACTCCGCCACCTCGACCTCGCATCAAAGCTCGCCTCCGATCACCTTCACTGACAACGACTACGTTGGCGTCAGTCCCAACCAGGATGACCCAATGGTCATCACCCTGAAGGTCGCCAATTGGGAGGTCCACAAGACATTAATTGACCAAGGGAGCTCGGTTGACGTCCTGTATTGGCCGACGTTCCTCAGGTTAGATATCCCTCACTCCCTCATCCAACCTCACACAGAGCCCCTAGTCGATTTTGCAGGAGAGCGAGTACATACTCGAGGGTACGTGGACCTGCTGACAACTTTCGGGACCTCTCCGGACACAAGGCAGATTATGGTCCGATACCTCCTCATGGAAGCCAACACCTCCTACAACATAATCATTGGGAGGCCGACATTGAACCAACTCGGAGCGGTGGTGTCCACCCCACATCTCATCATGAAGTTCCCAGGGAGTGATGGAAAGATCATCTTCGTCAAGGCAAACCAAAAGACAGCTCGGCAGTGCTACGTCGAAAGTCTGAAGGTTTCTTCATCCGAAGAGCGTCGCTAGAATGATCCCCCCACAGTTGCTCACATCACCCACGTGGACATCACTGACCTCGATCCGAGGTCCGACTCCCATGATGAGCGACCGAGTCCCATCGATGAGCTCGATGACCTCCAGATCGGGAAGCTTCCAGGGTAGTGCACGAAGATCAGCAGGCAGTTGAGCCGGAGTTGCGGCAGCAGCTCCAAGCTAAAATCTGCAGGAACGCCAACCTCTTTGCATGGTCCAGCGCCGACATGCCAGGTATAGATGCTAACTTCATCTGTTACAGGTTAGCAATTCACAAGGAGGCGAAGCCCGTCGCTCAGCAGAAGCGTAAGGTCGGTGGTGAAAGGCGGGAGGCCATCATCACTGAGACGCAAAAGTTGCTAAACGCCGGCTTCATCCGTGAGGTCAGGTACACCACATGGCTGGCAAATGTGGTTCTGGTGAAGAAGAGCTCGGGGAAGTGGCGCATGTGCGTCGACTACACCGACCTAAACAAAGCATGTCCCAAAGACTCGTACCCCTTGCCGAGCATCGACAGGCTGGTTAACGGAGCATCCGGGCACGCCCTTCTCACTTTCCTTGATGCTTACTTCGGGTACAACCAGATCATGATGTACCCGCCAGACGAGGTGCATATGTCGTTCATCACCGACCACGCCAATCAGATCGGACGAAACATGGAGGTCTACCTCGATGACATGGTGGTCAAGACCACCTTAGCCGAAGCTCATGCTGCCGACTTGGCCGAGGTGTTCAGCCTGATCAGGAAGCACAACATGCGTCTCAACCCAGAGAAATGCGTCTTCAGCGTCCAGGGGGGTAAGTTCCTCGGCTTCATGATCACCAGCAGGGGGATTGAAGCCAACCCGGAGAAATGCAAAGCCATCATTCAGATGCAAAGCCCCCAGACTGTGAAAGAAGTCCAGCGTCTCGCAGGAAGGTTGGTCTCCCTCTCCCGACTTATCCCCAGGTTGGCTGAGAAGGCAGGGCCAATCTTCACCCTGCTACGGAAGCCAAAAAACTTCGAGTGGACGAAACAGTGCGAGGAAGCTTTCCGAAGATTCAAATCCTTCCTCACGACCCCGCGAATCCTTCAGAGGCCGAACCACCAGGCCAACCTCCTATTATATCTGGCAGTAGCAGAAGGCGCGATCAGCGCGGTTATCGTACAAGAGCACCAAAAAATGCAGACACCGGTCTACTTCATCAGCCGAGTGCTCCAAGATACGGAGAAACAATACCAGATGATCAAGAAGCTAGCGCTGACACTTGTTACCGCAGCTCGGCGTCTCCAACCCTACTTCTAGAGTCACCAGGTGATAGTCAAAACCGACTACCCAATCAAGCAAATCCTAAGAAAGCCAGAGCTCGCTTGGTAGATGATAGCGTGGTCAGTCGAGTTGTCTGAGTTTGACATCCAGTATGAAAGTCCTGGAGCTCTGAAAGCTCAATGTTTGGCCGAATTTGTAGCTGAACTGACCCCGTCCTCGGCCGATGAACCACGGGTATGGACCTTGCATGTTGATGGGTCTTCCAACTCTAAAGGTGGTGGTGCATGTATCATCTTGGAAGGACCAAATCAAGTCACTTTGGAGCAATCCCTCAAGTTCAGCTTCAAAGTGACCAACAACCAGGAGGAATATGAAGTGTTTCTCGCTGGACTGAGGCTAGCTCACGACCTCGGGGCACGAAGAGTGAGTTGCAACAGCGACTCAAAACTCATGGTGGAACAGCTCAACGCGACGTACCAGGCTAAGGGTGTTCTTCTAGCCAAGATGACCACTGAAAACGTGCAGAAGTTCACCTGGAAAAACATCGTATGCAGGTTCGGAATCCCCCATTCCCTTGTTATTGATAACGACCGACAATTCATTGTGCAGAGCTTCGAGGACTTCCTCTGGGAACTCGGATTCAAACACCTCCCGACCTCAGTGGAACATCCACAGACTAATGGCCAAGCTGAAGCTGCAAACAAGGTGATACTCCGAGAGCTCAAGAAACAGCTAGGAAACGTCAAAGGACAATGGGGCGACGAGCTTCCCAACATCCTCTGGGCGTATCATTGCACCCCCCAGTCAACAACGGAAGAAACTAGGGATGAAAAATAAACCCGTACCCATGGGTAATACCTGAACCCGTCCCAATATATATTAATTAAAAGAGATTCTACATGTAAATGTTAGCGATGTAAAATGTGATTACTTTTTGCATCAATTGTTTTCAACTGATGTATAATGTTAATAAAAAAACAAAAACAAATCCCCCCACCAAAAACCTTTTTTGCCTTGCAAATGCATCTTTGTTTCCCCTTTGCCTCCACAAACACCTCCACCTTGCAAACAATTCTCCATTCTCCCCTCCACGAACCCTTGCCAATTGAATCTCTGCTTCCTTTCTTGTGTGAACCTTGCCACTGGGAACCTTTGGCTCATTGAATTTGTCCAAATTTGAAACTACAACTACGACTTCATCCTCCCCCATGACTTCAACTAGATTCACAACCTCTCATGTCCTTACCTTCCTCTTCCTATATTTGTAAAAATAAAAATAACAATCTCAAACAACACATAGAAGGCAAAAGACATAAACAACACAACCACACCTAGCACCCACCAACATTAAAAATATTGTGCATTTTTTCAAAATTTAAAGACATATTACATTAGTTGTAGTTTAACCAATGTAATATTTCATTTTTTATATTAATTCAAATTTGTACCAATGTAGTCTATCTCTTTTCACATGATTAACCAACAATAGATATAGAAAGCACTATAATACATTCTATGTAGTATAATTACCTTTAGTTTCAAAAATGTCTTTGCTTAAGATATTGCTTCGGTTGTAAAATAATCGATGTAATGTCATGACGTCATATCTATATTTTGTACTAGTGGGAGACAATTCTCACCTTAAAAGTTTAGTTTTGTAAGGTTGAATTAGATCCAAATTCCACCTATTAAAATGATACTCTCTTTGTTTTCTATTACAAGCAAAAGAAAACTAATTTTACACACACACACACACACACATATATATATATATATATATATATATATATTAAGAATGTTTATTATTTGTATTAAATTTTACTACTTTTATAAGATTTTTTCAAAATTGTCTTTGTTATAAATGTCAAAAGAAGTAGTGTAATTGATCATGCATTAAAAGAAAAATATTTTGATGAAAGTATCATTAAATGAAGTTAGATTTGCTTATATTAAAAAATTATATATATATATATATATGTGTGTTTTTTTGCTTATAATAAAGAATGAGGTAATATTAGAGTTTGTCATACTTTTATCATGCATATCAAATTTATATAAAACAAACAAAATTATATACTAATAGTATAAAATAATTTTATACACTCATCTAATAATAATTCATTATATATGACGAGTTTATTAATTTTGCTAATATTTTTTTAGTTCTTCAGGATCACTAATATCAAAGCATATATAAAGGATTAAAATAATAGTTTTTGAATATAGGAATTAAAACTACAAATTTAAAAATTAAAAACCTAAAAAAAAAATATATCTTAAATTTAGAGTACTTAAAGATATAATTAAACTTTTTTTAATGAATACTTTAATAAAAGAAGTACACAAATAAGCTTAAAAATTAAGGGGAAAAAAAGCCCTCAACTCAGAACTTTCATGAATGACATAAAATGCGTCACGGTCCAACAATGTTATTATAAAATACAAATCTCTAAGTTATATGTTCTTTTATAACACATAAAAGACACAATGTCATTGTAAAATACGAATATCTAAGTTATATGTTCGTTTATAACATGTAAAAGACAAAGATTAAAAGATCACTAAACTATAGAACTAGAAACCGAATTAAATCGAATATTTTTTAAGTTGTAAAAGTCAGATAGAAACTAGTAATTCAGTTATTATAATTTTAATAGATAAAAAATGAGTAAATATTTTTCTAAAATTAATTTTATTTAAAAATTGGAAAACCTTAAAAATAATAAATACTATGCAAATTCATATTTACTGCCACATTAATTCTGAGTGTGTGTCACGCAGACTGATCTGTCAGGGGAAGATATTTATTATTTGAATGAAAGTTTCTACCTTGGGATTCCGACCGTTACACTAAAAATTTGTCTTCCACAGTTCCACTAATTATAAAATCACGCTCCCCGCGTTTCACAGATCAAAATACATTCCCACTTTATTTACTCCGTTCTCTACTATAAATAAATTAAAAAATATAAATAAGTTCTAACTATTTTTATCTTATTTAATAATATTTTTCTTAAATATATAGATTTTTAATTCTACTACATTTTTATATTTATTATAAAGACAATTTAAAAAAACATTACATAAAATATTTTTTGTACATATAATAGAAAATATTAAAAGTAATTAATTAGTTAGTGCGTGATAATCTGCGAGCAAAACACATGATTTTCATGTTTCGAATTCAAAGCCCCCACAAATTATGGCACAGGTCATTGACCCAAAGAGAGCAAAACACATTAGTTGAAATGTGAAGTACACGTGTCACGACATCACAGGCGGAAGCTTCTTTAATGAGACAAAAAAATTAAATTCAAAACCTAAAACATGACTATATATATACTCAGGTGAGTTAAAAAACGAGTCTCCAGTTGAATTCAACCAGGTCAGTTCTTCTTCTTCTTTACAATGTTCTCATTTTCTAATTTTTTCTCCATTTTATTTTGTCTAAACAATGAATGCTCTTGATTTTTTTTTCGTTTGTATGTATGATTATGTCTTCCATTTTAGTTTGAGTTTTGAAAGTTTCCCTGAGAAGGAAGTGGCATTCTTCGGGGAAGTTTATGTTTGTTTGTGTGTGTTACCTTGTAAATGACGAATAGGCGGTGTTAGTGTCTTTCACGCAAACATGATATGTTTGGTGTTTTTCATTCTTATGTTTATTATATCTCTATGACTAAGATGTGCTAATAGTTGGTTATTATCTCATGATGATTTTTTGTTTGGGGAATTCAAGGTTTTCATTTGTTGTTTTATTTCACATGTAGGTTTTTGGTGTTGGTGATATCAAAGACAAGATGGCTGAAATGAAGAAAAATGAACCGTCACACTGGTGGTGGCTTGAGAGCCACAGCAACACTAGACGATCCCCTTGGCTTCAATCTACTCTCGCTGGTATCCACTTTCTTCCTCTTGTTATAGGTTAAAATAATTTCTTATTCGTATATTTGTTTGAGAATTGTTAAGCAGTTCAAAAACATAAAAAAATTGGGTTCCAAATTTGACGAATAACGTGTTAATAATACTTGATTTGTAAAACAGTATAGTGAAAAAAATAGTAAAGATTTTACAAAAATCACACTGTTTGTGCTGCTTTGACGGTTTTCGTACTCGAAGAATTGCCATTCAGCTTTATCCTTTAATTAATGTAATACATTTTTTTTTTGACGAACTCTATAATTGAATGGTTCATGAAAATTAGATGCACGGGAAGTCCCGTTCTCTTAGAAGTTAGTAGTAGGTTAGCCTTGTTTTTCAAACCGATGGGATTTGCGAAATGGGAAATTAATTGCCTCAGCTAATTAACTAGCCTCGTAGCCCGTAGGTGTTGCGATGGATTGATTTTAGTGGTAACGTTTTTCTCTGCTTATTAGTGATGTTTTTGATTGCATGAAGATTGATGGTGTATAGTGTGTTAGCACCTAGTGATAAAGGCATAATATTTGAATGATTTAAGGTCACCACTCACCAATCATTCTCTGGCCCTTTATTATCATGACTTTCACGATTTGTTTAAAGTATTTAGACCTTTAATTCATTCTTTGTGGCCAATTAAGTTTCGGACCCACATGTGTCTCTCTGCATAATATATATATATATATTTGAAAAAAAACCGGCCCCTTTTCAAAAGAAGATGATCGCAAGTACTAGTAGTCTAGCATAGAAAAATAAAAAGATTACGAGCCTTGTTTTATTTTACGAGTGTTACTTTTCAAAACTTTTCTCTTTTTCTCTTACTACCTTTTGACTTTTAAGTTTTAATCTTTCTAGCAAATCAGTAACTTATTTTAATTATTATGGCATACATCATACTTCTGCTATCTAGGCCTTTTTGTTAATATGTATTTTAATCATGGAACTTGATTTTATTGTGCTGTAAAAGGAGAAGTGACTTTTTTTTTTTTTTTTTTTATATGGCAGAACTAAATGAGAAGACAAAGGCAATGTTAAAACTGATCGAAGAGGATGCAGATTCCTTTGCCCAACGTGCAGAGATGTATTATAAGAAGAGACCACAGCTTGTGAGCATGGTTGAAGATTTCTATAGGACACACCGCTCATTAGCTGAGCGCTATGATCAAGTCACTGGAATTCGCAATCAGAAGACAGGGGGTTCCCCTTTTTCTCCACTCAAGCATCATCAATCAGATAAGTTGATGAGTTTTGCAGATGACAACTATGATAGCTATTCTGAGAGCTGTGGTGTAGAGGAGTCTGGGGAATCTGAAGTTTATGATCCTGAGCAAGAAGAAGAGGATGCCAATGATGAAGTGATGGGACCGAGGAAAGAAATTGAGAGACTAGGTGAAGAGAACAAAGACCAAATTAAGAAATATAACACTTGTGATGAAGAAATGATGTTGAGGGAAGAAATAGAACAACTTCGAAAAGAGAATAGAGCGCAGAATGATGAACTCAGGCAGAAGGGTACCATTTGTGGTGAAGTAATGATGTTGAGAGAAGACGTTGAACGACTTAGAAAAGAGAATAGAGCACAGAAGGATGAGCTCGAGCAGAAAGGTAGCATTTGTGGTGAAGTAACGATGTTGAGGGAAGAAATAGAAAGACTCGACAAAGAGAATAGAGCACAGAAGGACGAACTCAACAAGCAAGGGAGCATTTCTAGTGAAGTAATAATGTTGAGAGAAGAAATAGAACAACTTAGAAAAGAGAATAGAGTGCTGAATGATGAACTCAAGCAGAAAAGTACCGATGGTGGTGGAGTAATGATGTTAAGGGAAGAGGTAGAAAGAGTCAGAGAAGAGAATAGGGGACAGAAGGACCATCTCAAGCAAAAAGACCAAGAGAAGATAGAGGTGATTAGACACCTTAGTTTAGCTATAGATGTCCTTAAGCAGGAGAATGTAAAGATGAGAAGCTTCATTGCTAAGGAATCTTCCAAATGGAAGAACCCATTTGAGTTAAACAAACTCATGAGATCATTATCGGGAAAGTTGTTTAATCACTTTAATGGATTTGCAAAGTTTAATCACCCTAGTGTTGTAGCTCTCTAGATATGGTTCACGAACTAGTGTAGTGTTCTGTAAAGCAATCTTTATAAAGATGTCTGTGTACATATTATGGGGACTTGCTCCAGTAAACCACAAATCTTGTATACAGTATATTCTTAATATGAGAATCCTAGTGGAGTTTCCTATACAACAAATTAATATTTTTATTCATCCTTTATTAGCGTGACATGCATATTCGGTTGTCTCAATATTTTATTTGCTATCTATATTGTAGCCCACCCAATGTGCCCTTATCTCCTTTTCATGCCAAAAATGTTTTCAACTATATAATAATGCGAAGTGACTACGTTTCAGAGTCACTAAAAGGTTCTTTTTTTTTACAACAACAAAGTGATGTGTGGTCCTCACCCCTAGGGGAAGGCATTTGTCATTCAATCAATTGGGGAGGCCAATGTTCCTATATATAATATATAAAAGTAGGAGAAGGTCCCTCCATGTCCAATTCTACAGTATATAATTGTAATGTAAAAGACACCAAAGGAACACAACTAAATTATATACTCAAAAATGAAAAATAAATGTAACAAATACTAAAAAAAACAGAGTAAAGCTTAAACACCACAAGTTTCATATTACATTTCATCTCCTTCTGAGTTATTTCTGAACTGATATAACGATGAAAAAATTTATCCTCAATTGTTATTTCTACACTCAAATAACCCAGAATTCAAGATGGACACTCAGAAATGTTTACAAGTCTTAATTGTTTTGTAACATCATACTAAGCACTTTAACATACCCAGAATAATGCCTTGCCTTCCACTTGATATGCTAAACAGTAAATGCTTCCAAAACATAAGTAGAAACACCAACATCTATTCACACGCCATGAAGCTGCATTATGCAAATTACCAGAATGGCAAGATGTAGAATTGAACAAAGTGGCAGAGAAGCACCCTGGGAAGTTGGTGCCACAGCTGGCATAGACAGTGAAGGTGGAAAAGCCAAAACTGACCCTGGACTATTGGAGACATCTGGATTAGGAGGGCTTGGACTTGAAGGAATTGTAGGTGTTGTGGACTCTGATGGAGAGAAAGCAGCACCTCCAGGGGTTGGAAACAAAGGCTCAATATCTGGTGACATGGTTGGAGAGAAGTACATAGGGGCACCTGGTAATGCTGTTGGTGCTGCTGAGATGGTGGAAACATACATGTTTTGTCTAGAAGCCAAGACCAATGAACAATTGCATGCCATTAAGGCCATGAACATTGCCGAGAATGACCAAAAGGAAGCCATAAATGATGGCAAGATAGATCAATTGCTTTATGATGAGCTCTTAATGAATGAACTGTTCTTGGAGAGTGGTGAAATTGAGGAGATTCATCATTGAAATGCACAATTTTAAAAAGGGTCTACAAGAAGTGGTGGTGGGCTCCAACCTTCAGTGGCAGTTGATGATTTGAACCTTTTTCATCTTCCAGCTGCACATTGTATGCTATAAGACAAAGTTGATAAGTAGATTACTTTGTGGAGCACATGAACACTAGGTGTCAATTGCATAAAAGTAAACACCAAAAATAACAAGAGAAAACATAGAGGGATTGTTACAAGTTAGCAACCCAATTGCTAGGAATATGTGAGACTTAATTTTCACAAATATATATATTTTTTTTATCTGAATTTACCTTCCTTTATCTTTATGTATGCCCCACCTATTTTCTAGAGACACATTCGGGGGACACCTATGTGCTCCACCACAGAACCCTTCACTGAGTCCACGTGATAAGTCCTGTCCTGAGTCTTAAAACAAAAATAAAAAACACTGAGGAAGAATCCAGTGAAAAAAATAAAATAAAATTAAGGCCTGCAGAAATTCTTAGACCTGAAGTAAACTACGTTTGGCTGATTCTAACTTCCCGCTAAATCTTCAAATCACGCAAGCCGATTTATTTCACTCAAGTGAAATCTAGATAAAAGAGTGCTTTATTTAAACACAATTAATAATTAAACATGTGGAATTCAACTCTGAACCTTGAATGTTAAGTAACTGGTTCCTTCTAAATTGGAAACCCAAAAGAATGGAAAAGGTTTGATGAATCTTTTGACAACGATCAAAATGATAATTGTTGCTAACAAACTGTTGAAGTATTTCTCTTTCTAGTGTAAATTACTTTTGTAGTGGCATGATTCATTCTATAATGCTACAATTTTGATTTTATTTCAGCCATCCAAAAGAAATGGCATTTGGGGTCCTGAACAAGTCAGATGTCAGAAAAATTGTATAGGAAAAAGGAGGGGTGAAAAAATGGAACGTAGTCCCACATAGAAAAAACCATTGTACATAGAATAATAAATAGGTGGAAGCAGAATGGGAATCCGAAGTTATTATTCTTAGATTCATGCATTCCTTCTTATTTCTCTCTTGTTAGTGAATTTAGTGATTCACGGACACCACATATGAAACAAATATTTGTTTTCGATTTGTCGGGTAGTACAATGGGCATCACACTCAATATTTATTATTTAATATGAACGACAATAAGACATGACATGATATCGTGAATGAATGAATGGTAGGGACACCAAAATGTGGAGGCGCTGTAACTCTCTACTAGGGTGTTCATGGATGAGTTTTTTAAAAAATCTGAACCGAATTAAATCGAACCGTTTTATAAAAGTGGATCGGTTAACCGATCCATTTTTTATAAAGTAAATCGGTTTGAATTTTTTAAAATATGAATTGGTTTTTTTGAAAATGGATCGGTTCGATGCGATGCAGTTATCCACTTTTTACTCACATATAGATCCGTTTTTTTAAAAAATCAAACTGAACTAAACCGATCCACTTTGTAAAAATGGATCGGATAACTGAACTGGTTTTATAAAGTGGTTTTCAAAATAGATTGGATCGGTTATGCATCAGTTCGGATCAATTTGAATTTTTTGCACACTCCTACTCTTGACCCATAGTCAACTTCACTTCAGCAAATGCAGTTTAAATTATACTTGCCTAAAAGATACATCGTGTTGAGATGGCCGAGTTGGTCTAAGGCGCCAGATTAAGGTTCTGGTCCGAAAGGGCGTGGGTTCAAATCCCACTCTCAACATTATTACCCCTTTTCTATATATATATATAATATATATTCTTTTTTGTATAATACTGGAAAAATAAAATATTCATATTCATATTTTGATGGACTCTCAATTTTTTGTTACAGCGATACACCATTTTTTTTCTTTAAAAAAAAACAAAAATAAAATATGCCAACTATGTACAATAGTTGAATGTTAATTAAGAAGAATCAAGCATTTTACGTTATGTTGCAATTATCTACATATTATCAACTCATACAATAAGTTTGTGATTATTTTTTTGTCCACGTTTGGTGATCTGTAATTATTTGAAAATTATAAAACAGGTAAATGGATTTTATTTCTTTTCAAATGCAGTCCAAATATGAATAAAATACATGTGTATGTTATTATTATTTTATTTTAAACTTCATTGCAAATAGTTTAAGATATAATATAAGATTAATAGTGGAATATACATAAAATATAATAACTAAAATAATATAATTAAAATAATCGGTCTATATAAAAAAAACTACAAAAAGTCTAAAATTGATTAAAAAACTAAAATTATAAATATCCAAAATATATTTTTCTTAACAATAAAATTAAAATTTATATAAAAATATCATATAAAATGTCTATTTATGTCATTTAACAGATATCAGCTATTTCAACAAATAATTTTACCAAATATTTATAATTTAATAAGTTAGCTCAATGGTTTTCACTTTTCAGCTACTCATTACCAGCTTTTGCTTTTAGTTAACTGTTCAGCTTCTTTCTGCTAGCTTTTCAGTTAATTTTCCCAAACATACCCATAGCCAATACAATTAACATCTATGCATCCGAAGCAAAATTTAATTTATAATCAATTCAAGTGAATCAATCTGAACAAATTTAAAATTCCAAAAGATAAGAGGTTCATTCCAATTGACACTAACAACTTCATAAATGTTACATTGATGCCATTTAACTTCAATTGAAACAAATTTAAAATCAATGTATTGTAAAAAGTTACATTGATTGCATCAAAGGCATCTCTACGAGTTACTCCTATGTGCACTATTTCCTTAAAAATACAGAACGCGCCCGAAAGATTTAGACATCAAACCTGAAGTGATCTTTCAGGTTCATCAAATCACGAAGAGTGACACTGACACGAAAAAAAACTACATGGGGTAAAAATAATCATGAAACACTCTTTCCTATAGTTCTACCCCT